TCAGCTTGACTGCGAAAGCCTTTATCTGCTAAGCCATTTCACCAGCATGGCAATTAAGTTTTAAGCATGAATTATAAAATAGTATATCCAAATATATACTATTTCAAAAATTCAGATATATGCACAACAATGTATAGAGCAAAAAGTCCTGCTGTGATTACTATTCAAACTATTCTTTACTATTTGTGTGGGGTTGGGGATCCTACTGACATGGTGACTACAAAGGCCCACAAGAAAATTTGCTTTTCATGATCAAGAAGAAAGGTTCTGGGCTGGACATGGTGGCACACGCCTCTACTAATTCCAGCACTCCGGAGGCAGAGGCAGGCGGATCTCTGTGAGTTCAAGGCCAACCTGGTCTACAAGAGCTAGTTCCAGGACAGCCAGGGCTACACAGAGAAACTCTGTCTCAAATAAAATAAAATAAACCCCAAGCAACAATAAAGAAAGGGTCTGGTAAAGACTCTCCAGCCTTGCTGGAGACCTTACATTTTAAACTACCCAGGACATGCTAATCCAGCTAGGCAATCACTGAGCCAAGGTCCCACTCCTCTCAGGAATGTGAGAAAATCACTAGGATGGGCTCAATTTAAACCATGCTAAAGACGTAGGTGGAATAGTTATCCCTTAATAGATAATTCCTTTTTGTTGTTTTTTCAAGACAGGGTTTCTCTGTAGCTTTGGCTGTCTTGGAACTTGCTCTGTAGACAAGGCTGGGTTTCAGAGATCCACTTGCCTTTGCTTCTGGAGTGCTGGGATTTAGATAATGCCTTTTTACATCCCAGAATCTTTACCCATGAGAACTCTCCCAATGAGCCATGCTTTTTCTGGTTGAGTTTTCTTCTTCTTCTTCTCCTCCTCCTTCTCCCCCCCCCCCCAACAGGGTTTCTCTGTGTAACAGTCCTGGATGTACTTTTTTTTTTTTGAGACAGGGTTTCATTGTAGTTTTAGAGCCTGTCCTGGAACTAGCTAGCTCTTGTAGACCAGGCTGGCCTTGAACTCACAGAGTTCCGCCTGCCTCTGCTTCCCAAATGCTAGGATTAAAGGCGTCACTGCCCGGCTGGAACTAGCTCTTGTAGACCAGAATGGCCTTGAACTCAGGGATCTGTCCATCTCTGACTTCCAAGTGCTGGGATTAAAGGCGTGTGCTACCATTGTCCAGCGAGCTTTCTTATTCTCTCTCTCTCTCTCTCTCTCTCTCTCTCTCTCTCTCTCTCTCTCTCTCTCTTTTTTTGACAGGGTTTCTCTGTAGGTTTGGAGTCCTGTCCTGGAACTAGCTCTGTAGACCAGGCTGGTCTCAAACTCACAGAGATCCACCTGCCTCTGCCTCCCAAGTGCTGGGATTAAAGGCGTGCCACCACCTGTCTATTTTACTTTATTTTTTAAAACCAGTTCTTAGTGGGTGGACATTTCAGTTTCTCAGTTTTCACTCTTACCTGTAAGTTGGGGTAAACAGCTCACACAGGATTGTAGATTTGACCTAATACAGTCTTGGGCTATATTAGTTGATGTAGGCAGCGAATACCTATAAAGTTACTAAAAGAACTAATTAAATTTTCTTGTACACAAAAGGAAAAAAATTCTTGTAGAGAGCTTGGTTACAGAAGTGCAAGTTCTCTTCCCTCAGATGGTATAATGGTATGCTTATTTATAAATTAACCTATTATGTGATATGCCTTGCAAAGACTTCATTAAAGGTAGCAGAAAACAATGGGAGGTCTGGTGTAACTGGTAAGAGGGCTTTGTATTGAACTGTTTTCCCTTCTTTCTGTGATTAGACAAGTAACACGTGCTCTTAGCAGGTATAAAGAACAATTTAAAGAGCCTCTCTCAGTCTGACATCTAGAAAAGTACTTGGTTTTCCCTTAAACATTTGCAATTCTCTCAACATTTTGAAACAAAGTCTTATGGCCTTGAACTCCCGATTTTCCAGCTTTCAACTCGCGGGTGCTGGGACTGCTGGCGTGCACCATGAAACCTGGCACTTGAAAACTTAGCTCCTTTGGTTCTGTCATTGCTGCAGGGGCAAGCTGACCAAGACAGTCTGTACTGCGGCAGCCTGAGTGGCTGTTTGCAGGGACTTGACAGGTAATGCTGGAACCTCGGCTTCTCTCCAGGGTTTCAGGACAATAGGTAGCACAGTTAATGCATACTTAGGGTTTTTATTTTATTTTTTTTTAAGCATAGATTTGCTCAGAGGGGTGGGTAAAAAGTGGGGCCCAGTAAAAGAAAACCAAGCAGCAGCAAGGGCATGGCCTTTTCTAAGTTGGTCACAGTTCATGGTCTTTACAGGATCTCTGTGTAAGATGTTGGCATGTTCTGAAGTTAAGCTTAAAGACTTGTTAAGGAATTTAAATAAGTTCACAGTGTTTCTTGAGGTGCACCGGGCAGTTAGCAGTTGAAAAGTTCAACACCGAATCACCAGGGTTGTAAGGGACTTTAGGGTGTTGTCACTGTAAACAAAACAAAGCAAGCTTTGTTTCAGATTTCCAGAAATCAGGGAAAAGAGTACGACCATGCAGTTACACGCGCAGAGTCCTTATGCAGACAGAGTTCATTGGTATTTTAACTTTCTTCTTTTAAACCTGGGGCAGGGTCTCATTTGTAGCCCTGGAAGGCCTGGAATTTCACTGTGTTGACTGGGCCGGTTTGGAACTCACAGCAATCTGCTTACAAAGTGCTGGCGGGACAGGTGTGACCCACAACTCCACGATATTTTTCTTTTTGTTCGACACACAGTTTCTCTGTATAGCCCTGGCTGTCCTGGAACCCTCTGTAGACCAGATCTGCCTCTGCCTCCTGAGTGCGGGGATTACAGGCGTGTGCCACTACCACCTGGCTGCTGGCGGGGGTATTTTAACTTTCTTGGATTAACTTCCTATAAAAAGTAAATTTCAAGGCAAGTGTTGTTCGTTGCACTGAATTCTTGACTTAGTGAGAGGGCTCCTTTTTCTTCTCATGTACCTATAATTCCCACCTCTTTCTATTCTGCCCAATTTGATACGAATTCTCAGAACCAGGAACATAAAACCGGGAGCTGTGACTTTGAAGGGATAATGAGAATTCCAGGCCAGCCTGGGCTTCCGAGCTGAGATTCTAGCTCAAATATCAAGAGCTAGCTGTCACCCCAGCATTTGGGAAGCAAAGGCAGGAGGATCAGGCGTTATCCTTAGCTACCTAACTCCTCCAAGGTGAGGCAGAGCAAGAATCCTTGCCTCTCCGCAACCCCGCCTGCTCCCTATACAAATCCACCTAAAACAAACTGAAGTTTAAACCTGGTAATCAGGTTGAGCCAAAGTCCAGAGAAGAACCTGGAATAGTTTTTAATATAAAACCAGTTTCCTTATGTGAAAAAGGAAAAAAAAAAAACACACCTTAGAGACTGGTACAGGATTAAAAGATAGCATTCAGTAAATTTTAAATCTCTCCCACCTACTCCGGTGGTGGCTGTGTACGCCTTTAATCCCAGCACTTGGAGGGCAGAGGCAGGCGGATTTCTGTGAGTTCGAGGCCAGTCTGATTTATAATAGGACAGGCACCAAAACCTACAGAGAAACCCCATCAAGAAAATCCAAAAAAAAAAAAAAACCCAACAAAACAAAAAACAACAACAAAAAAAACAAAAACAAAAAAACAAAACAAAAACACCCCACAAAAAAAACCCACCAAACTTTCCCTTTGTATGCAGGGGGGCATTTATTAATTACCCACGGTGACAATCTCCACGATGAATAAAAGTTGAGGTGTAAATTAGGGTGAGTTTACATTGCAGCAGTTGGTGAACTTTTAGGAACACTGCACTAAAACTACAAACCCCACAATGCATATAAAGGCTTAGTTTCTGCGATATGACGTTTCCGTGGCTCTGGGGAATGTAGAGGCAAATATTGATTTTTCTTCGTTATACGCCCGTTTATACTCTCGTTTCTTCCAAACACAACCTTCTCTAGGAATGCCAACTTCACCTTTTTTCAAAGTGATCTTCAGTTACCACGTTTAGGGAAGCCGAATACTCTAACATTTATTTTTGTTTTTAAACAACAATGGTTTGCGCTTTGCGGATTCCCAGGACAACTCTGCTGCAACAATCTACCCGCTGAACATTTGTTAGAAAACACGAATTACTAGCAGGACGCCATCCTGCAGCCGGTGCACGCCTGGGAAAGCCGGGCTCCCGCCAAGCCTCGCAGTCCCTAGCCCGGGTTCCGCGTGTTAACGTCCCGCACGCTCCGCGCGGCACGCGACCGCGCCGCCCAATCACTTGGGCACTAGCAGGGCCGGCTCCGCCCACGCGCCTCGGAGTGCCCGCGCCGAGCGAGCGGCCCGCGAGTCACCGCGGCGGCTTCTGGCCGAGCGAGCGAGCGAGCGACGCGGCCGTCCCGGGCTCCGCCGTCCGGCAGACGCAGGAGCGCCGCGCACCCAGCGAGATCACGCCCACCCGCCCGCTCGCTCGCCCTCGCTCGTGCCCGCCCCACCCCACCGTCCCGAGCTCAGGGAGGGCCGGCCCGCGGCTGGAGAGGGGCGCTCCTCCGGGAACGGCCGGGAATCCCCCCCCCTCCTTCCACCGAACGTTCCGGATTGTTCACCGTCCTCACGTCAGCAGCAGGGGGTAATCCCCGGCTCCAGCTGCTCCTGACGTCACCGCGCCGAGCCTCCGCCCCCTCCTCCCCCCCCACCCACCGCCGCGCGGACCAGCCTCCGGGTCTTCCTCAGAGCCCCGCCCCCTGGCTAGTCACGCCCCTCCCCTCCCCCAGGCGCCCGACGTAGAGGGCGGAGCTTCGCGGACCGGGGCGTGAGCGGTTTCTTGGGCCCGAAGGTTCTGTCGTGGAGGCCGTCCTCCTGCCGCCCCGCCCCGCGGGTTCGTTTGCACGGCTTCTTCCACACCCTTTCTTCCTCCTCTTTGCCCGCCTCGCCCCGCCTTCCTCCGCTCACTTCTCAACCTCGCCAGTTCCTTCCCCGCCTCGCCACCTTCCACGATCTCGCGAGACTTGGCCCAGAACATTGCGGATCGGGTCGGCGCCATTTTGGGACTGAGACTGGTTGTGGGGGAGGGAAAAGCGGCAAAAGGGGATTATTCAAAGTACCGAAAACCTCCTCCCGGGATCGAGCGCAGCAGCACCCCCAGGCCAGGGGCACCTCTGGTGGGGCAGAAGGTAACACCGTCCCCCGGTCCCCGGACGGGAGTCCCGGGGACGAGCGGGGCGGGGGGGGGGTATTGCCCGTGTCGGCGTTGGGGCTGGAGGGGGTCGGGAGCGGCGTTGGTGGCGCGAGGCGTGAGGTTGCGGGCGGCCCGGGGGGCAGCGTGGGGCGCGGGGCGGCCGCTCTCGGCGTTGACTCAGCCCGGCGGAGCGCAGGCGGAGGCGGCGGCAGTGGGGAAGAGGTGGGCGGCGGGCCTCGGGGGCTGTGGGGGGGTGCTCGGCGGAGGCCGGGAGCGGCGGCGCCGGCCGCGGCGTCGGGCTGCTTCAGGGCCCGGCACGCGCCTGCCCGGGCACCGGCCCGGGGGACCGGGGCAAGTGGCGGCCGAGCTGGGGCCTGGCCGTGCTCTGCTCGCCGGCGCTTCGCCCTCCCCGCCGCGCCCGGCGCCGTGGCAGTTGCCGTGGTTGTCGCTCGCCGAGGCGAGCGCTGCCTGCGCTCCGAAGTCGTGTGGGCTCCGGGTCGGACGGGACCTGGGTTTTTTTTTTTTTTTTTCCCGGGGAGAACACCGTCCCTAACGCGGTGTACGAGTGGGGCCCCGTGTCCTGCACACCTTGAGTTTTGGCCGAAACCTGTTTGCTTGATTCAAGGAAATAGGGGTTGGCACCTTGATCCCACGGCTGCGCCCCGAGGCTGGGAAGTCGCCCCTCAGGCGAATCTTAGGAACCTCCTTGCCACGTTCCCCTCCCACCTTCCCAGCCTGCTTTAGTGGGGAGATCCAGCTGCTCCGATCTCCGAGACGTTGCTTTTTGGAAGGAGCGTCCTTCTCTTTTCGCCTGTCGTCCTCGGAGTTAGGTTCACTAACGCTCCGTGGCAGCACCACCTGTCCATTTGTTTTCCTTTGGCACATGGGGTAGAATTAGGGAAGATCCATCGTGAGATGGTGTGTCCGTTTCATAGTTTTAATATTTGCTCAGAAAGTTTTAAAGTTTTGCACATAACAACCTCCGGTGTTCCTCCTGCACACAGTTCCAAGTTCATATCGGAACTTGCTCTGTGATTCCGTCACCCACTGTTTTCTGCCCCTCGACTTTGAAGTCCTTTTCATTCAGTAGACTTTTACTGAGGGTTAGGCTCTTTTCCCAGCTCTCTTTAGGAATGAGTTCTCGCCATGGGTTGATCCTCCTCACCGCCCCAAAGTGGTGGTTAGTTTTTATCTGAAAAATAAAAACTGTGATTTAAGTTTTTTTTATTACTTTTACAGGTGATTGAATTATGCAGATATGAAGATCACCATCTAGGTTTTGTTTAGGCCCCGGATATTTCAAGTGGCCATTTTGGAATTACAGTTCTGTTTTTGTTTCGGGTAATTTTGCCCCAGAAGTTTATTAGAATTGACAAGAATCATCTCTGAAGTGAATTGATATTGGTAAACAAATTCATCGTGCTACTAAAAAACCCAGTCATTTCTTCAGTATTTTGGTTCAAACGGATTATATAAGTCGTTAAAGTATTTCGTCTGGTGTTATTTTTGTCTCTTCCCCTCTCCTGTTGTCCTCAGCCAAAACTGTAAGATATGTTTGATTTGTGTACTGAGTAGTTTCAAATTACTGTTTAAATATTGCTGAAGTTTCGTGGCAGTTCTTTTTACCCTTATTGAAAGATTTAGTAATTTTTGACTTCAGCTGTTTTCATATTACAATGGGACAGCTTTTCTAAATGAAGCCATTGAAAGAATACAGAATTTTTTTTTTATCTTTTATTTCCTTGGGAATGTAAGATGTTCCACTTTGACACCAGCATGGTATTATTGAGATAGCTATTTGTCTCTGTAGATGCTGATGTTTAGAAGTCATATTCAGATGTGGAGTTTTCTTTTTGTTTCTGCTTTTTGCACATAAATTGGATTTTTCATCTGGAGTGGACAAGTACAGCAGTGATAAATACATGGAATCGTAAAGAAGACCTTGATCTTGAATCCGAGGAACCTGGCTAATTCTGGATATAGCCATATGAAAACTTCAGAACAAATATGGGTAGCTGACTTCAAATAACTCTATGTCAAATAGTCATAGGTTAAGTATCTTCAAAGAACTTGGATATTTCAGAGGATACAAAATAAAAAAACAAACTGGAAAACATAAAGCTTATAGAGAAAAAACCAGCACCCTCCTGTGCAGTCCTCTTGGGATTTGTAAGTACTCTCACGGTGAGCAAATTCACTTGTAATCATAATGTGAGTCATTGATCCTGTGTTATTCTGCAAGCCTTTTAGTGTCTTTTAAAAATTTTGCTTTTGGTTCAGTTTCTGGGTAGTTTGAAAGTAGTTATTAGCTATATAGTACATTGGAATGCAGAAGATTTTAAGGATTACAAATGTTTCAGACTTATTACAGTCTTAAGTTAAAAGTTTTTTTTTTTTCTTTTTCTTTTTCTTTTTTTTCTCTCGAGAGTGTTTCTCTGTGTAACAGTCCTGGCCTTCCTGGAACTCACTTTGTAGATCAGGCTGGCCTGGAACTCACTGAGATCCTTCTGCCTCCCAAATACTGGGATTAAAGGTGTGCACCACCACAACCTGGCTAGTGTTTGTATTTTTAAAGTTAAAAACAAACATATCTGGTCAGTATTCACTTTAGACTATGAATAGCAGAATAGTAGAAACCTAGAAAAAAAAAACCTACACATTTCACATATCTGGTTGGTTTTATGTTTTAAATGCCTTAAGTCTTGATGTGAGTTTAGACTGCATTACTATATATACAGTCTAGTGATCTAGTTTAGAGTAAGGTAGTCGTAAAACAAAATAATGCAAGTTTAGTTTCAAATCTGGTATCTTAGGAATAAGCTTGTTTAAGGTTTAGCTATTTCTAATATTTTAATCCATTACAGATATTAAATTTTATTGAAGCTGTTTTGTGTTTTACACTCTTCATTTTTCTAAGCATTACTGAGAGAAGCAGATGAACTGAACAAGTTGACTTAAAAACCTTTAAACTAGCATAGTAATTACATATTCCCCCTACCCTCAGGAATGTTGTGCTGGCTTAAGTTCATAGATAGTTTTATTTAAGTTGTGATATTCATTAATCTAGCAGAAATTCTTTTAATAAATGTAAGAATTTTTAGTGATAACTTGAATTTTTTAAGAGTTGAGTGGTTTTTATTTGCTATTACATTTAATTTTTCAGTGTGTTAGGGGATTCCAGAGGGTTCTTTTAAAATGTATTTACGTATTTATTTGTTTTATGTACATTAGCATTTTGCCATGGGTGTCAGATCCCCTGGAACTGGAGTTACAGATAGTTGTGAGCTGCCATGTGGGTGCTGGGAATTGAACTCCTTAAACTGCTGAGGCATCTTTCCAGCCCCTGTGGTGTGATCTTTTTAAAAATTCACTTAAGTGTATTTTCACACAATTGGTAAATAGATTAATATGGCTACGTTTAATTTATTTCATCTAATACCTGTTCTGAGGTAGAAGATTATAACTTTTCAATACTCAACCAAAGATTTGCTAACTTTAATTGTTCATTTTTTTCTAAGCCGTTTTCTCCCCTTGCTAACCTGTTGAGTTCTGTTAGTTCCTTTAAAGCAAAAGAAGCAGTAGTCTAGCTGGGTGTTGGTGACACACACCCTTAATCCCAGCACTTGGGGGCCAAGGAACTTGGATCTTGAGTTTGAGGCTAGCCTGGTCTACAGAACTAGTTCTAGGACAGCCAAGGTTACACAAAGAAACTCTGTCCCGAAAAAGGAAGAAGCAGTAGTCTAAATGAATGTTGGTATTTGGATATTCATGCTTAACATTTATATTCTGCTTTGAAGTTCGGATTAGGGTTCAATTCCCTGTGTTTTACAGACTGGATTATATGTGCTTTTTGTATGAGAAGGTCTTTAGTAGTTCTTAAACATTTAAAAATATTTGAAACAGTTAATTCATTGTGGGTGGCTGATCCTCTTGACTCGAGAGTGCTGAAAGTTACCTGTGTGTTGTCACACCAGGCCTTTTGTGCAGTATTTAATACATTGATGAGAACATTTGTTTATCACTAGGGATCCGAGTCTATATTCCCTGCATTCATTCCTATTAATTGACTTGAAATTTATTGTATAAAAGTATGTATCTTTAATGTGAAATAGAAATTGAACTTGGTTTGGCGTGGTGGTGTGAGCCTTTTTATCCCAACATTCAAGAGTCTGGTCTTCAGCATGAGTTTCAGACCAGACAAACTAAAAGTATTGGATGGTGGGGACAAACAAACAAACAAACTCTGGACAGAAATTGAATTGGTATCACCTTACCTTTATTCATAGAAAATGTCCATATTTGTTTTCTTGTGATCTTGAAATTTCTAATATTTCCAAGCCACAATATTAGGATAAATTAACTTCAGAAACCAGCTTTGTATACTTGACTCCTTGGTAGTCTGTTGTGAACTTTGTCTTTAGAGTTGGTCAACAATTGATGTGTTGGGACTGGGCTTGGTGGTGCGCTGCCTCAGTCCTAGCAGAGGCTGTGATCTCTTGAGTTCAAGGCCAGCCTGGTCTACAGAGTTGAGTTCCAGGACAACCATGATTACAGAGAAATCTAGTCTTGAAAAACAAAAAAACAAAAATGAAACTGCCAGGATTACAGAGAAATCTAGTCTTGAAATTTGTCAAAAACAAAAATGAAACAAAATAAACCCCTCAGAGCAAATAAAGAAACCAGATGTACATACTTGAAAAAAATTTCTGTAAAGTGTCATTGCCTCAACAGCCAGGTGTTAGAACCTCCTGGAATTGAAGTTACAGGCAGTTGTAAGCCGCTCTAAAATGGGTGCCAGAAACCAAATTGAGGTCCTCTGGAAGCGTAGCCAGTGCACTTCTCTGAGCCATTTCTCCAGCACCTGAATTTTTCTTTTCTCTAAGGTCTCTCATTGTAGTCCAGGGTCAAAGTCAAAAGTGACCTTAGGCTTCTGATTGCTTGCCTCTGCCTCTTCAGGATTGGAATTAAAGGCATGCCCCTCTACTCACAGGTTTGAACCTATGGCTTTGTGCAAGCTAAAGCAAACATTTTGCTAACTGAGGTACATCTCCACCCTTTCTGATTATTTTGACGGTTTTCCAATATTTTACTTTCTGAAATTGAACTGTATAGTATTACTAATTGCTAATTAGTAATTAGCGCGCTACTAGGACCTATTCTTCCCCACCCCATGTTCTCTTACTCATGTTCTAAATGAGGTGTTTAATAATTACAGTTACAGATTATGGTGTCATGTGTTTTGCTGCTTACTTATACATGATAATCCACTCCCCCCACCCCAGGGTTTCTCTATATAGCCTTGGCTGACCTGGAACACACTCTGTAGTCCAGGTTGGCCTCTGCCTCCTCAGTGCTGGGGAATGATATCCATTCTTAATACTATGAGGAAAGTAGTATTATAGTGGTGTAAATGAGAAAATTTAGGAAAGCTGAGGCTGGAACAGAGTTGCTTGCTTAGAAGTAGAATCTAAGTGATAATGTCTCTGCTCCTCATACTCTTAAAACCTCCCCCACCCCCCATGTATTGAGGATGGACCTCTTTCATGTTAGACAAGCTCATCCCTGAGGAGTATTCTCAGCCAAGCCTGTACTCTTAATCAGTATGCTTTAAACTCATCCAAGCTGGACAAACTGTACACCCAGCAGAGTCTATACTCTCCATTGCTGTGTTTTACTTACACTGTCTTCTTGTGGATACCACTTTTAATTCATTCTGTTTGAACATTTCTCGCACTTCTCTTTGGTTAACCCTCATTGTACTAATAGGTTAGGGAAGCTAAGAGAAGCTACTATTCAGTTTTGCTATTTGTTAATAGCTATTTGGATAATGACTTTCCTTGGTAGTCTCTTACAAATGTGGATCTAAATATTTGTTGTGCCTTACTTTCTCACTGATTTTGCCCTGAAATTACTATATAGTTTTTGGTTTTAAAGCTGTTGGTGAGTTGGATGCACGGCAAAAGGAAAACAACAAACAAAAAAAACCCAAAACATTGAAAGATGGGACATTTTAGTTTCAAAGTGAAATAAATGAGAGATATGTGAACCCACGTCAGATGATTTTGTGTTTTGACCATATTGTCTTGATTGTGTGTGTGTGTGTGTGTGTGTGTGTGTGTGTGTGAGAGTGAAACAGCATCTCACTATTTCCTGGAATTTGCTGTGCAGTTCAGACTGGTCTTAAACTTGAGATGATCCTCCTGCTTCTGGCTCCTCAGTTAAACGAATTATGGGTCTGTGCCATCATATTAGGCCTTGTCTGTCTCACTTATATTGAAAATCTTAAAGACTGTGCGTGTGTACATGTGTTGTGGAAGTCAGGACAGCTTTCAGAAATTGGGTTTTCTCAACCATCCAGCTAAGGCTTTGCAGCAAGTGACTATATCTGGGAAGCTATTTCATTGACCCCAATGAGACTTTGAGATAATAGTTTATTTAGATGCAGGTATGATGTAAGAAAAGGGTAATTTTGAGAATATCAAATACGTAGAAAAAGGAATTGTGATAGTGTGTATTTACCCTAATCTTTTTTTTTGGTAGAAATGATAATTGCCAAGTTGATATGTAAATTATATATAATACTTAAAGAGTTTACTTAATTAAGTTTATATGTAAAACCAGTGTTTATAGTGTCTTGAGCTATTCTTTCTTTTTTTCTTTTTTTTTTATTTATTAAAAGATTTCTGCCTCCTCCCCGCCACTGCCTCCTATTTCCCTCCCCCTCCCCTGATCAAGTCCTCCTCCCTCGTCAGCCCGAAGAGCAATCAGGGTTCCTTGAGCTATTCTTTCTATCTCTTGTTTTTGCTAATGGCGTTACCCTAATCCCGTGATGCCAACCTGAAATTGTATCTTTGACTTCTTAGGGCTACTTAGCTTTGCTTCCCCATTTCAAATTTTCATTTGCTAGCTTACTAATCTTAGGTTGTTTTTCCACTTAAGAAAGCAGCTCATTGGGCTGGAGAGATGGCTCAGTGGTTAAGGGCACTGACTGCTCTTCCAGAGGTCCCGAGTTCAATTCCCAGCAACCACATGGTGGCTCACAACCATCTGTAATGAGATCTGGCGCCCTCCTCTGGCGTGTGGGCATACATGGAGGCAGAATGTTGTATACATAATAAATAATTTAAAAAAAAAGAAAAAAAAGAAAGCAGCTCATTTATTTCTTTGCTTTTCACTGTACTCTT